AAATTAGAAGTCACGCTTGAGCATTCAATCAACTTTCCTATAAATAGAGGGTCATACCTCATTCATTTCCTCAAGCTTAGAGAGCCATAATCACCCTGTCAAACTTCCTCTTGAACTCAATTATCTGTAACTTCAAATTTCCTTTTACAGTTTTCCTCAATCCATTTTCTTTGTTAATTCACCTTCCTTGAACCTCACTGAAGCTAACAGAAGAAGAGTTAATCTCTAAGACTTCCTAAATCGTGCTAGCCAAGTCAAGTTTCAGAGCTCTGCAATTGAACTTCAATAGATAGATTCCCTCACCAATTCTCTCAAACTATGATATTGTTATGAAGCTCTCATCATCTTGATTCTAGTCACAACAATTGTTTTCAATTGGAACTAATTTTTGGCCATGAAATTTCATACCCCTTTTCAAAACTTCTCTTCCAAAACAACTGAGCTACAACTTACATAAATTTTCGCGAGGGTACCATTGGAATCGTCTTGAAGAGACGAAGCGAATGGTACCGGTCTTGTGTTCTAATTTTACTGTTTTAGGGCCCTGCAAATCTCGTGACTAGAGGTTGAAGATGACCAACGTGTCATCTATTGGCCAATGAAAGTGTGCCACACTTTTCTTCAAATTCTGATTTAATAATTGATTCCATGCTTTATTTAGTAAGGACCCATGATATGCACAGCGCATCTGATCCATTGGATTAGCTTACTAACACATTTTGACTCTCATCCATTGCTCTATATATTTTAGATTTTTATTTTTACTTTTGATTTCATATTTTATTTGTTTTAAGCTTCAAAAATTCATAAAAAATTCATTTTAACTTCAAAAAATCTGAAACAATTATAAAAATACTTTTGATTTTTCTCTTTCTAATTATTATTTTTTTCACAATTTTGTTTTGTGTTCTGGTATATTTTATAATTTTTCAATTTATTTAAATTATTTTAAATGTTTAAAAATACTTTTCTTAATTTTTAAATTCTGAAGAAAAAAAATAGGGAAGGATCCAATGACCTCTTAACAAATACTGGTGACCTCATTTTATTTTTATTTTTGATTTTACTATTTTTAATCATTTTTGGTTTATTTTTCCTATTTCTTTTAATTTTAAAAATATTTTGTGACTTTAAAAAATTACCAAAATTTTTATATAAATATTTGAGCTCGTTTCAGATTTTTCTATGGTCTTATTTGAATTTTGTTAGATGTTTTGGATATAGTTGTTATTTTCTCCTCTTATTTTCATTTTAAAAATCATTTTCTTTACTATTAAATACATTTTTTATTTTGCATATATTCTGGTTGACTTTGGACTATGAGATTTTGATCATGAGCTTTATTAACATCATTGGATCCATGGTGTTAGTTCAACTCCACAAAAATGGATGAATGATTTTAATAATAGATTGATTAATTTTTTAGTTCAAATATGGTTTAATTCTTACCACATCCCTCTTCATCTTCTCCCCTTCTTATTATACTAAATGTTATTGGAGAATGATTTATATATCATTTCTCAAAACATATGATACATAGATTGCTATTGACCTGTCTCAAAATAGATGATACTTTTATATAAGTCCACTTACGATTGCTTAACATAGCGCTAAATTTTGTCTCGATTGGAGAAATGATCATCCGTGGCCTAAACCCATATTTGTAAGCCCAGGTATGTTAATTTTAATCCTTTGATCCAATAACCTTGAAATTCATTGTTAGAATGCTTTGGTCTTATCAATCCTCTAATGAATTTTCACAAGATTTGGTCAAAGTGAATCACTTAAATATCATTGATCATTTATTGTTGCCTTGAGAATTTTAAAATGAATGATATACTTGAAAAAAAGCAAATGAGACTTGTTGTTGAAAGGCTTTGGTTTTATCAATCCTCTAATGAGTTTCAAATGCAAGTTTCAAGATGGTCATTCAACTAACCTATAATTTCTAACAATTGACTTTATCTTGTGCCTTTATTTTATGCTCTTTACTTTAAGCATATTTATTTTAGCATTTACATTTCATGCTATTTTAATCTTTTCTCATTTGAGCATTTACTTTTATGTGATTTTTATTTTGCTCATTTGAGATTTTCATTTCTTTTTGAAGATAATTAACAATCAACTTGAACTATAAAAAACTTTAATGTTACTTGGACTACTTGGTTAATATCCTTGGCATTATGGAGATTATGGACTTCTTGGACTTAGGATTAGAGACCATGACCTAATTTGAGACCTTGTGACCTCAACTATTATTTTGTCTGGAGTTCCTGGGGTTTATCCCAAGACATTGGGTTATTTGTTTGCTTTGTGTGTATGTTGTTTTAATTACATGCTTTCTTTGTGATCATAAATTCATCTGTATACAGTCGTTACTCTGTCCAATTTTTGAAGACGTAATGAAATTGAAGCTTGGTTTTCTTAAAAGGTTTATTATCTTTGCTTGTTTAATTTCAAGTTCAGAAGATAGGAATTCTACATTGACTCATTGTGTCAAATTTTGGCCTCTTTTTGGTTAGATGGTTCATATCCTTAGCTTTTACCTTATGTCCTAAGATAGTCCCTTCATCACCTCCCATTTTCTTTAATTTCAAAAATCTTCTCTCTCCTTTTGAAAATTCTTCTTGTTTTAAAAACATGAACTACTTTCATAATTAACTTGGACTTAGGTCCATGCATTTTCAAAAATATTTTCTGAATCAAACTTCAATCAAATTAATAATACCTTGACATTTTTGTGAGAATACTAAAAGTCAATTAATCTCATTCTAACTATTTTGCCACTTCGGCCTTTTACTTTAAAATTTACTCAAAAAGATTAGACTATTGTCAATCCTTATAGTGATGCGAACAACTATACTTCTACGATATATAGTGAAGTGAGATATTTTTCACTTGGGTGTTGAGCGAGATTTTGTTGATTTAAAATCCAAGCCATATCCTCCACTTTGAGATGATGCAAATTCTCCTTTCTCATAATTGTGGGTAGTAAGTATGTTTTCTGCTCAGATAAGACGATGATATCTCGTCTCTTAAAATTAACCAACACACTTGTGTTTTAAAATTTTTAAAATTGAACTACGAGTATCCCGATTCCCTATTGCACGGAAGATGGTATGTAGGCACTAAAGGTTTGCAACCTCGGCGGGTGCAAAAATCATAAAAAATATTTCTTTTCTCATCCCCACAATTTGTTTTTATATATAATATTTATAGCCAAAATACACAAATTTACGAAGAGGTTCCTGCAAAGTACCGTACATGTTTAGGGTGCTAATACCTTCCCTTTACATAACCAACACCCGAACTTAGATTCTCTCCCCCTTTTTTGGGTTATTCACTCTTTTCCCATTACTTTGGAAACAATAAAGCACGGTGACGATTTTTTTATTTAATCTATACGAGTCAAGTCAATCCAATGCCTTAGTCTCAATATTTCTACCGCTGCACATGGGAATACATAGCCACGAGATTTTAAAATCATGGCGAGCACAATAATAAAAAAAAACCCAAAAACTATTTCTTTATTTCTCCTCACGTAATAAGTAAAAGATCCCATGTAAATTCACGCTACCATTGGATCATGAGACTAACTAAATGGGTACCATTGAATACAATGGATGTGAGGAGTGTTAATACCTTCCCATTGAATAACTGACTCACGAACCCTAATTTGTGTGCGATGATCATTTCTTTTTTTGTGGGTTTTATTCGATATTTTCTCAATCCTTCTTGGAATAAATAAAGACCAGTGGCGACTCTGTCATATTTTAAACGTGCGGGTGCTTGGGAATTTATCGAGCCGTGACAGGGCCCACCAAAAAAACATGAAATTTGATATTAAAGGATCAAAAAGTTGGTTTTTTTTAAATGTGGACAAAAAAGTTATCAAAATCAATATAATGGGATCAAACTGCATTTAAGAAGAAAAAAATTATACTTATGAATTTTCACGGAAATCATGAGAATTTAAAGGGATTCGTGAGGACGGGGATGTGAAACAAAATTTTCACATAACAAGTATCTGTGACAAGGATAAGAAATAGAATAGAGGGTGAGGATTGAGACGGAAATGTATCCCCTACCCCTCCCCACTCCATTGACATTCTCACTCTCTATGAAGGCTCAATTGAGGAAATTTAATTCATCATCTTTAAAGTTTATTAAAATAACAGTGAAACATTTTAAATTACTCTCACATCTCTTAAGTTGTCATATGTTCACGGTTTTTCATTGTTATTAATTTTTTTTACTATATGTTAGTTTAAGAAAATTGGTGCATATTGAAAAGAAGGTGTTGGTGTCATTTTAGTATATCTCATAGAAGATGAATATAATTTTTCTTTCGTGTAAGAAGAAAATTAAGTATGAGATTATTTATCCCATGTAAAATTATTGTTTCATAACTCATTTTTATCAAATTAATAAAAAATAAGTATCATTATATGTTTTGATTTCCATATTGATATTGAGAATGGACCAAAGTGAGTAGGTAGTTCAACTGGGTATTATTAATTATGCTAAATAAGTACAAAGAATTGGTGCATAAGTGGCATTTATTTATTTTAAATATAAATAAATTATTGATATTTATTAATAAATAAATTTAAACAAATATTGACAACTGATTAAACGATTTTGTCAAAAAATATAAGTATTGTAGAAACATAAATTTAATATAACTTATAATAAATTTAATATTAATTATAGGTTTTTAATAATACTTTTAAACATTGAAGAAACATAAATTAATAAAAAAACATTAATAAATGAAGAAACAAAATTTAAAAAAAAAAAATTATTACATTTCTCCTTTTAATATATTTTCGTAAAAGATTTATTTTATGCTTCTTAAATCACTTTAGAGTTTTTCATTATTCAATCAAAATTCAAACTTTAAAGTATAATGAAAAAATAAAATGTAAGATCTGACTCCCAAAATATAAAACCTCATGCAATAACATGTGAGGTTATTATTATCAAATAAATTTCCTTAATTATGCGCAATAAGTATCATCATCTTTGCTTACAAAAAGCCCATTTTTCTCATGTTCCATTAGTCCACAAACTATACAACATGTGCATGTGTGTGTATTAACAGTAGTGTCACATCTGCAACGACGAGACTGAGCACCTGGAAACCTTGCATTGAATTCAGCATTGCAGTCACGTTGAGCATGTAGACAATCACCACTCAATCCTGAAAGAACTTTAGGGCAATATTTGATATTGGGTTCTTGACCTACATGTACAACATTATTATAAACAAATAATATGATCAAAACATCTTATAATAATAATAATAATAATAATAATAATAATAATAATAATAATAATAATAATAATTAAAGATGATGATGTACCAGATCCATATATAAGGTTGAAGAGAGCAAACAAAGCCACCACAAGTAGGAGAATCTTTCCTAGCTTCATGATGATATTAACACACTATTATCAAAAAGAACTTTGAAAATGTTAAAGAAAAAAGCTTGAAAATATTGGAGAAATGTAAGAGGAGAGGAACGCATATATATAGTACATTTTGTCTCTATTTATAAAGTTATATATAAATTTAAAACTATTATAAAGATTGTTAACTTCGGTGGTTTTATGAAGATGGTCAAAAAATATTTTAAAACTATTATAAAGATTGTTAACTTCGGTGGTTTTATGAAGATGGTCAAAAAATATTTAGGCATAGAGGTAGTCAAAACAAAATCCTTTTTCATTTATGAAAAAAAACTAAAATAAAAAATAGTTTAAATATATTATATTTAACTTAGGATCCTATTCAATAAAATCTAATATTTATATGAGAAACGAGAATTATCAATATCAATAGTTAAATGTATCTACCAAATATAATTTATAAATTTCATATAAAAAACATTTTACTGAATTTTTTTCTATTACAATTAAAACTTAAAAATTTCATAAAGAGAGACTCTCATCAAAAATATTTTTATTTCTTACTAAAGAATTTTTAAAATATTTTCTTAAATATACTTAGTTAGGATATGAATATAAAATATAATTAAAATGTCTTTAGTATTTTTATTTAAAATTAAAACTATATAAACCATAATAATTTTGAATACTAAAATAAATCCAAAATAAAACTTCTAAAAATTAATATTAATTTTAAAACAATCTGAAGTATTATTTTTTACTCATCTTTCAAATATTAAAATTATTTATAAATAAAATTATTTCACATATTTTTTTTTGAAATATTAACTATTAAATAATTAATTTCATTAAAAAAATAATTAAATGTGTATGTCATGTTTCATAGAATTATGTTTTTTTCCACATTTTGTTTAGGTAAATAGATAAACCTAGAATTACTTTTAAAATCAAACAAAAATTGAAATATTTCATAAAAAATTTAATCATCGTAATAAAGATTAATACTTTTGAAAAATAATTGAATTTTCTAAAAAAATATACAATTATTTCAAATTAAAATGAATAAAGGGTCAATCTAACTAATACTGAGATACAAGAATAATAATTTCACAAGATAGCAATTGTTTAGAAGTTTTTTTTTTAAAATTACTGGTAATTCAAATAATGAAATATGTAATTATTTTTAAATTTTTACTTATTAATATTTATTACGATGATTAAAATATTGGGTGTTTTGTTTGGTTTTATACTAGAAGAATTTATTTATTAAAATAAATTGCAAAAAATATAAGTGTATAAAACACAAGATATAATATCAAAATATTTTTTTATAAAAGAACTATTAATTTTTTAAGAATTAATATTTTTTTTAAATTATATGATATAATTTTAACAATACGAAAATCATTAAACAAATACTCCTTATTATTTTAAAATTAATATTATTTTTGAAAGTTTTATTTTTGAATTTTTCTTTTAGTATTAATAAATATATATAGTTTATATAAATTTAATTTTAAATAAAAATATTAAATACATTTTAATTATAACAAATATATTTCAAAATATTTTTATAACTATTTAATCATCAAATAAAAATATTTTTGATAAGAATCTATTTGTTATAAGTTTACTTAAATACTAAGCATAATAGAAAATATTAAGCAAAGTGTTCTTTATATAAAATTTTTAAATCATAACCGTTAATTAAATCTAACAAATGACATTGATAGTTCTAGTTTCTCATGATAGATATCAGTTCTCACTAGATACACTCCCTTTAACGAATGTTTTTTAGCATTAATCATGTTTTTTTTTAAAAAAAACACAAATAATCATGTTTTTGAAAGAAATACGCAAATAATCATGTTTCTAAAAAAAAGTGAATTAAAGAGGCGCCACTTGAATTGGCGCATCCTATATATTTTTCAAACTTTTCAGTTAACTGCGAATTTTCCTGCAGATTTGACATTACATGCGGACTTACCTGCGAATTTTCCTACGGACAAATCTGCAGGAAAAGTCAAATCTGCAGGTAAAATAAAAAATTTGAAAAAAATATTAGGAGATGGCTAGGCACCATCTCACTTGGCTCCTCTTTAAAAAAAAATCAATGCATACGCTATCTGAGATGGCTACTGCATTATATCGTTTTCTGAAACATAATCATTAACATAAATTTCTCTGAAACATGGTTATTTATGTATTTTTTGTTCAAAACAAGGTTATTGCTAAAAAAATTCCCTTTTACTTATTCATAAAAATATTAAATTATCAAAGTTTTTTTTGAAAAAATTAATTTATCAAAGTTTGTTAATAATTATATGGAAAAATATATTATTATTTAGGTGAAAGATTAAAATTTATCAATAAAATAATGATTGTACAATTTATTGTATATTTATTTAAAATATTGGTGGTCGTGTTGATACCTTAATTGAATCTAAAGTCCAATCATGGATTTACTATGAAACCATTACCACCATATCACATGTTGTGTTCATTGATCGGGAAAATAACATGTGTATTATTTTTGCCTCTATAGTAATAGGAGGAAATTCCTCGAATGTCGATCTCAAGGAATGTGTAGAGATATCGAGTTCAATGTGTGGTTCAATTAAACAAAATTTATAGTGGGTTTTGTTTTGAGATTATACTTTACAATAAGAAAAAATAAGCAGACTGTAAAATTGGCTTTTTCAAAGATATGAAGAACATTTTAGAGTAAAGTGTATGATTTTCCCTATAACAATCTTGAATCTTGATTTCTTCAAGAAGTTCAAAATACTCAATTACCAGATCTTTAGTTTATTTTCCCCTAAGTCCTTAGTGGGAAAACCTTTGAGCATTCATCCTAAATCCTAAGTCCGTAGAGATTTATGATGAAATCAATCCTTTGTTTTATCAAGATTTAACCGGTAACTATAGGGTATCCCTAGTCCTATGTGATATCTACTATAGTTTAATTGCACAAAAACTTTAACAACGGCGGTACAACCTAATCTTTAACTGTAATTCAATCGTTATTGGTACGATAAAGAAAGCATTAAAAACCTTGTACGATCAAATTGAATATGAAAAACAAATATATTACTGAAATCCGAAAATCAAAGTTGTTTACAAAATCAAATCAGGGACACCCCCTAGCATTGAGGGTTTGAGCTACTCATATTGTTCAAAGTAATTTCAGAATAAAAATTAGATATTGGAAATTAATGGTGAACTTTGATCTTCAATTGCTTTCGCTCATGAAAAATCTCTGTTCTCCAAAAATCTGTTATGCTTCAATCTTCAATCGTCAAATTCTTTGCGTGTAAAAAAGGTCCTTCATTCATTGTAAAAAGTCTTCTAAATAGTGAAAATCCATTGCTCTCAGTCTGAAATACCCAAAACTCCCCTTTGGGTCAACACTTAGTGCAAAATTACAATAACAAGCAAAATCAGCACCTGAGCCAACACGGCCCGTGTCAGTTGATACGAGTGGCTGTGTTGGCCTCCTAAACTTCCCCATTTACTCTCAAATTCTAGACCTGCTAACACGGCCTGCGTAAGGTGACACCGGTGGCCGTGTCATCCCCTTGAGTTTCCATATGGAACAACTTTCATCCTGACAAAGCCTGTGTCAGGTGACACGGGTGGCCGTGTTAGACCTCCTGTGACATGGTTTTTTAACTTCCTTTGAAACTTCAAAATTTTCATTTTTCGCACCTATTTGTCCCGATTCAGTTCTATGAGCCTACAAACAGTAAAATACACAACCAACACATAAAATATGAAAAAATGAAATAAAATGCTCGAAATAAAAAGAAAATAAACTTAAATCAAAAGTAAATAATAGTGTAAAAATCACTAGTCATTCATCAACACTAACAACGACAATAACGAAAAACGAGTTACTTTAGTTTTAACTCGTTTCCCTGATTGAGTCTCACGAGGTGTTAACCTCAAGGTACAATAAATCATTCTCAATTTTAAACTATTCTCCTACATCGAATCACATCCTAGTAATTCTATTGTCTCATTGATTTGTTTCAACAAGGAAATGTTTGTTGGTTTCTCCTTAGGCACCATTTTTCTTCCATTTGCATTTCATACCATTCGGAAGTGTAAATTGGACATTTGATCATATCTTGTGAATTATCATATACATGATCTTTGTTTCTCAAGTGTTGTTTATGAACTGATGAGCAAATGAAAAAAACTATTGTTCTTGAGTATGAATAAGTTCTGTAAGGTAGATGAAATGAGGAATTGTTTATTTTCAGTTTAAGAAACTTTTCAGGAAAGCAATTGTTTGGGTCCAAAATTGATATGGAGTTTGATTCATAATCAATTTCTTGAACAGTGATACCAATTTCTTTTGGATATACTGATATCAATATGTTGAAGCTTCTTCCCAACCTATGAAATGGTCTTTGTTATCCGATGCAAATATGAAACTTTGTACACCACAACAAAAATAAGTTTTAGCAGCACATAAAAGAAAGCGCTTTTGGACAAAAACCGGTGTTGTAGGTTTTAAAAAAAATTCGCTTAAAAAAGCGCTTTCAAAGGGTGCCTTAAGAAAGCGCTTCTAAAGGTCACCCTTAGAAAGCACTTTTTGGGAAGCGCTGCTAAAGCTGGCCTTTCAGAGGGTACCTTAAGAAAGCGCTTTTCAAAAGCGCTGCTAAAGGTCAGCCTTAGAAAACGCTTTTCCAAAGCACTGATAAAGCTGGCCTTTAGAAAGCGCTTTTAAAAGCGCTGCTATAGGATATGCTACGAAAGCGCTTTTTGATGTAAAAGCGCTGTTATAGATGACCTTTTGAAAGCGCTTTTAAAAGCGCTTTCATAGGTAGTTTTATAATAAATATGAAAACACAATTCATATCACTTTTCTATTCTCAGTCAGATTTTCTTCACGAAAAAACCCTAAACCAGAGCTTCAACGGCGGTCAACGGTGCTCCACTTCTCCGGCCAACTGCAATTCGTATCAGGTTTCATTTTTTTCCTCATCTCGTATTTGTTTGTCTGGTTTTCATGTGCTTTTTGTTTGGTTAACAATTTCATGTCATCCAATCCACACGTTAAGTATATACAACTTAATATAATTTGACTAAAGTGAACGTTTATCCAATCCTTCACCATAAAAAACGTCATCAGGAGATGTGGGACGCTTTTTATTATAATCAATTCAAATTAGCAAGTGGCCATTTCTTCTAAGAAATGATGATGAACGTGTTTGGCGAGACCATTAAATGACAATGTTAGCAGAGTCTCATTTTTTATCATTCTTTACATTTCAAGATAATTTATTTTTCATCCATCCAATTCCCGTCTCTATTCATATCAACCCTCAAAAAAATCGATCTATGATTACTTCTGAGTCTTCGAACAACATGCAGCTACGACTGCTAGGTACTTATTTTGGTTTACGCATTTAAACAAACACGTTGTCGTCAGTTTATATTTTGTTAATTTTTGTGATTTGATTCTCAGATGGTACTGCTAGTAGTGTTAATGTGATGAGCAACCTCGCACATGTCATGGCAGCCTCCATCGTCGGATTAATCGGTGATAATTCAGTGATGGTTGACCAGTAGAAGATTGTTCCTTACTTACATCAAACGGAGTCAGGCCGTGTTGCCAAGCTTGAGATTTTCTCTCACTATGTTGGTAACTTCTTTACCACTTTACTTTTACTTCTCCAGTTTAGTTTGGGCGTGAATTTGATGATGAATTTGTGTTATTATCGAATTGATTATGGCTACTTGTACATTTGTCTATGCAGCTAGGAAAATGGGATTTGTAGATGCCGGTGAGGTTCCAGAGTTGTGCAGATTGGCACAGGACTACTTGAGAAACACGAAAGGGTGTAAAGAAAATATATATCAATATCTAGCCAATGGAGACAACGCTAATGCACTATATGCAAAATTGATTGAAGAATTTGAAAGATGCATCCTCAGTTATTTTGCTTTTCATTAGAACCGAGCTTCATTTATCATTACCCAGGTACATAATTCTTTAATAAAAAAAACCAATTACACATGTTTTCAGTCATATCTCACTATACTTTTGGTAAAAAAAATTTCACCTCACTATTATAACACTTTGTTATGACGATTTCTAAAATATCTCTACAGATATTTATGAGATGGTGATATTTAATTAGATGTAAGTGTAACTTCTTAATTAAGAAAGAATTTTATATTTTGGGAAATATATTAACTACTAAGTTGATACATGCTTTTGTTTATTTTACATAGATAATTATATGTTAATATATTGATGTTTTAATCGTCTTAATCATAGGTATTAAGTTCTCAGTCCCAACCCAAAATAAATCTCAAAAATATTCTTTTGGAAGCGACAAGGTAAATTTATATCTAATTTTGAGTTTAATTTTGGTGCAATGTTTTTTTTTAATAACAAACAGAGCCTAAGACCGAATTTTAAATGTTAGTGTGTGAATATTTTTACACGGAAAATCAATTATAGTAAGCCATATCCGGGATTTTTTAAGTAATTATAATCCATGCCAAACAAAGTTTGATCTATTGATTATTAGACTAATAGTGTAAATTTCTGTTACACGTGCATACCAATTAATAATCCACTCACAATTTTGCTTTAAAATAACCTTTCAAAAATATGGAATAATTTAAATGTCTTATGCTATGTTTATAGGGAACATAGGTTTGAGAGAATAATAAAGAAACTAAAGGTGGCTAGAGTGTTCTCTACATTGGTTGAAGAGATTAAAGCAATAAAGGGCGACTCGCAAAGTTGTGATGACAAGGTCTCCATTGTCCAGAGTGAGAGGAGTCCAGTGTTGCTGCTTATGGGTGGAGGCATGGGATCTGGAAAAAGCACTGTTCTTAAAGACATTCTTAGAGAGTAAGTATCACCTTAACTCTACTTCTTCCATATATTAATTAGATCATTGTTCAATTCCAATTGTTGCAAATGTTATGAACCATGTGTATCTAAAATAAGAAGAAGAAAAAAAAATGATCTTATGAGTTATGACATGCATGTGTTAAATTTTGTCACCCTTCACCTTTTTTCCTTGTTTTTCCCCTAATTAAATGGTTTTGGCAAATCGTTTTGGTCAAAAGCTGCATCCAATGTTGTGGTTGTTGAAGCAGATGCTTTTAAGGAGAGTGATGTCATTTATAGAGCTCTTAACTCTAAGGGCCACCATGATGAAATGCTTCAAAGTGCTGAACTGGTATGCTTCTATTGTCCGAAACTTTCATGTTACTATTTTCAGAGTATTTCCTAATTAGCTTGTCATCAAAATCTAAACAGGTGCATCAGACTTCGACTGATGCTGCATCATCTCTACTAGTGACAGCTTTAAATAAAGGGCGAGATGTGATCATGGATAGTACCTTAGCATGGGAACCTTTCCTAGAGCAAACTATTGCTATGGCAAGAAATGTTCACAAAAAGCGATGTCTAAGGTAAACATATGACAACGCTTTTCCAGGCAAAAGTGTTGCTAAAAGACCACCTATGAAAGCGCTTTTCCAGAAAAAAGCGTTGCTAAAAGCCTACCTAAGACAACGCTTTTCCAGAAAAAAGCGCTGCTAAAAGAAAACTTATGAGAGCGCTTTTCCAGAAAAAAGCGTTGCCTTAGGTAGACCTATGAAAGCGCTTCTTCATAAAAAAGCGCTGTCAAAAGCCTACTTAAGAGAGCGCTTTTTAGAAAAAGTGTTGTATTAGGTAGACCTACGAAAGCACTTTTCATTAAACAAAAAGGGCTCCTAAAACCTATAGCAGCGCCACCTACGAAAGCGCTTTTAAGCGCTTTTAAAGGCCAAAAAAAGCGCTTTCGTAAGTCTTTTTCGGCGTAGTGGTAGTAATTAGAAACATGCTAGTAGTGTTGTTGTTCCTAAATCGATTTTCATCTCTCTAGTTACTACTACTGATGTTGTTGTCGGTGAAATATATGTGATTGTAATTGTGAACAATATTGAAATTTTGAATGGTGGATCTAAGGTGTTTCATGAAATTCATGTTAGAACTTTGTTCTTAAAAGGTGTTTCATATTTATGGTTTCATGAAATTGAGGTTTAAAACCCACTCAATTTCAAGCTTTTTTCAGTTTTTTACCATACTGTCTTTCAAGTGGTGTGCCACGTCAGCTTCCGTTAATGAAAGATGACAACAGGACCAAAATTGTGCATGCAAAATTTTATGATCACCATTGTTTAAAGAAAAACTTTTGAGAGATTAAAAATGAAATTTTAAAGATTTATAAGGATCAAAAACATATTTAACCATAAAATATGTAAGAAAGTCCCATAGACTAAATTATTAGATGTCAACTACCACATGAAATATTTATAAAAGATTGGCCTAAATATAAGGGTGTGAATTTCATTTTCATTTAAGTTTTTATAAAAAATATTATAATTTCATTTTGCAATTTCAAATTATTTCTAATTTAACGTGTTTGGTTTAACTTTAAAAAATTGATTTTTTATTAAATTTGTAAAAAAAATTAAAATATTAATTTTTAAAAAAAATTACTTTTAATAAATTGATTAATAAATTCTAATACCAATTGACATCCTATGATATAAATATACAATATTATCATAATTTTTTTAAAAAATGATATAAAAAATATTTTATGAAAAGATATTTGAAATAGCTTCAAATTTACCTTTTTTTAAAAAAAATTTAATATTAAAAAAAATTATAGTAAAATGATAAAATACCTAAAATTTCATTTTAAAAATAATTATTCAAATTAAAATTTTTATTTGAAGTTTTTAAAAAAATTCATAATTTTTTTAAAACAAAAATATATACCACTATAAATTTTTTTTAAAAATAACTAAAGCATACTGTCCTTAGTCTTAAATAATCACAAGAATTCCAATTTTTTTATAGTCATGTCATATAAAATTTACAAGCAAACTGCAATGAGGCTTTAACACGGAAAAATGGATTGTGATGAGAAGGGAGAATGGAGACAAGTGGTGTCAAGGAGGAAGCAAAAACACTTTGAACAGTCCTTAAGTCATGATATACTCTTAGACATTATGAGCATACAAAACGAGGTAAATTAAAGTACCACTGTAACACTATGTTGTACCCCAATTTTTACCCCTAAGATCATTTCATCATATTACATTGATTCAATCACAACAAGATCATATTAGGGCTTTTGGTTCTCCTCCCAATCTTTTGCTTTGCTCTTTGAGGAATCACCAAGTACCTTGACTTGTTTTTCTTTTGTGATTATGCATGTTTTGCTTTGAATTTCCTTTTAATTAATAAAATGCAATGTTGGTTTGTCTTACTTGTTAATAATGTAGGTAAAGGCAATGTGGCTTAGAAAGTTGATCCATGGGTTCATGAGTTTATTTCCATGCCCTAGTCAATAAAGGTTGAGAAATTCAAACCTCGTCTTTGAAGTTGTTGGAAGAAATAACATGACATAGGTCTCGTTCTATAATTTTACAGATTGAGCAACCTGGTTTTGGGACTGGCCGAAGGTTGAAGATGACCAACGTGTCATCTTCCAACCAATGATAGCGTGCCATTTGTATTTTTTGAATTTATGATTTTACATTGGATTCAGTGATTTATTCACTAATGACCATGATATGCACAGTGCGCCAGATCCCTTGGATTTGATTACTAACGCATTTTGACTCTCATCTAATGGTTCACATATGTTTGACTTTATTTTTTATTTCTGATTTTTATATTTAATTGCTTTAAACTTCAAAAAATCATAGAAAATTTATTTTTAGTCCAAAAAATCTGAAATAATTATAAAAAATATTTTTGATTTTTCTCATTCTGATTTTTATTTTTTCATAATTTTATTTTGTAATTTGTTATTTTTTATAAATTTTCACTTTATTTGATTAGTTTTAAATGTTTAAAAATACTTTTATGCATTTATAAGTTATGAAAAAATTATAGAATGACCCAATGATATTGTGACAAATATTAGTGACCTCATTTTATTTTATTTCTGACTTTTTTATTTTTTATCCTTTTTGGTTTATTTTACTCATTTCTTTTAATTTTAAAAGTAGTTTCTGACTTTAATAAATTACCAAAAATTTTATAAAAATATTTTAATTCATTTATGATTTTTCTATGGTCTTACTTTATATTTCTTGATTAATTTGAACATAGTTGAAATTTTTCTCTTTTATTTCTATTTTTAAACCCATTTTAATATATATATTAAATGCAATATTACTTTGTGATTATTTTCTGGCTGATCTTGGATTGAATTTTTGATCATGAACTTTATTAATATTATATGATCCATGGTGTTGAGTCTAACTCCACAAAAATGGATGAATGATTTTAATAATAGTTTGATTAAATTTTAGTTCAAATGTGGTTTGTATATTCTTTCCCACCCCTCTTCATCTTATCCCTTTCTTATTGCACTAAGTGTTATTGGAGCATGATCTCTATATCATGTCTCAAAACAAATAGTTTATATATTGCTATTGACCGGCCTCAAAATAGGTGCGACTTCTATATAAGTCTACTTACGATTTCTTAACATAGCGCTAAATTTTGTCTCGATTCCAATAAATGATCATTCGTGGCCCAAATCTATGTTTGCAAGCCCAAGTATGTTAATTTGATCTCTTTAATCCAATAACCTTGAGATTCATTGCGTGGAAGCTTTGGTTCTACCAATACTCTAATAGATCTACAACACTTTTGGTTAACGCGGACCACTTAAACATTGTTGACCATTAAATGGTACTTTTGAGGATTCCAAATGGATGATATACTTGACAAAAATAAAATGCAACTTGTTGTGTGGAGGATTTGGTTCTACCAATCCTCTAATTAGTTCCAAATGCAAGTTTCAAGATGGTCATTCAACTAACCACTAATTATTATTTATTTTTTTACTTTATGCTTTTATTTTTATGCTTTATGTACCATTTACTTTAAGCATTACATTTCATGTTATTTTTATTTTGCTCACTTGAGCATTTATATTCTTGTTATTTTTATTTTTCTCACTTGAGATTTTCTTTTCTTTTTTTAAGACACCTAATAATAAATATGACCCATAAAAAGCATTAATGTTATTTGGACTATTTGGTTACTATCCCTGGCATTACGGAATATTAGACTTCTTGGACTTAGGATTAGAAACCTTGACTTATATTGGAGACCTTGTGATCTTAATTGATATTTTGTCTGGAGTTCTCGAGGTTTACCTCAAGAAATTGGGTTATTTGTTTGTTTTGTGTGCAGGTTATTGTGATTACATTCTTTGTTTGTAATCTGAAATTCACCCGTATACAACCGTTACTCTGTCCATTTTTTGTGAAGACTTAATACACTTAAAGTTTGGTTCTCTCAAGAGGTTTAGTACCTTTGCTTGTTTGGTTTCAATCCAAGGAATGTGAATTCTATCTTGACTCACAATGTCACGTGTTGGCTACTTGTTGGTTAAATGGTTCTTATCCATAGCTTTTACCTTATGCTTTAGGATAGTCATTTCTTCTCCTCCCATCTTCTTTAATTTCAAAAATATTCTTCCTTCTTTTGAAAACTCTTCTTGTTTTTAAACTTGAACCACTTTCATAATAAACTTAGACTTAGTTACATGCATTTTCAAAACTTTTTGATAAATAAACTCCAATAAACTTAATAATACCTTGAAATTTTTTGTGAGAAGACTAAAAGTCAACTAATCTCACCTCAAACTATTTTGCCACTTTGGCTTTTTACTTTAAAACTTTTCTCAAAAGATTAGACTCTTGTCAATCCTTTTAGTGATGCAAACAACTATACTTCTACAATATGTAGTGAAGAGAGATATTTTCCACTTGGGTGTTGAGTGAGGCATTATTGATTTTAAAATCCAAGCCATATCCTCCACTTTGAGATGATACAAATTCTCCTTTCTCACGATTGTAGGTAGTAAGTATGTTTTCCACACAGACAATGACGATGATGTCTCATCACATAAAATTAACCAACACAGTTGTGTTTTAAAATCTTTTAAAAGGTGAACTACGTGTACCCTGATCCCCTATTGCACGAAAGGTGGTACGTAGACACTAAAGGTTCGCAACCACGGAGGGTGCAAAAATCATAAAAAATATATATTTCTTTTCTCACCTCCACTATCTATTTTATATACAACATTTTATAGCCAAAATATACAGATTTTACGAAGAAGTTCCTGCGGAGTACCGTAGATGTTTAGGGTGCTAATACCTTCCCTTTGCATAACCAACCCCCTTACCTTGAATCTTTTGCCCCTTTTTTTGGGTTATTCGTTATTTTCCCATTCCTTTGGAAATAATAAAGCTCGGTGGCAATTTTTATTTTTGATCTGTATAAGTCTAGTCAATCCAATGGCTTAGTCTTAAACATTTCTACCGCTACAGAAAAAAATGGCGACTTCACTAGGGAAAGATTGACCTCTTGCTGGTCCATCCCTAAGTGGGTTG